GTTGAGGCCACGGGAGAGTGGCCTTTACAGGCCTTCGCCGTGAGTTTCGGATTCCGACCACCATTAATCGAAAAGGCCCCGCAGGCTAAACAGATAACGGCGGGGCCGAATCGTTCGGCGGGATGTCCGAGAGAAGTGCACACCTCCACCACCCCATCAGCAGCAGCAGCGGCAGGCAGCATCCCTCCTTCCTCCTCATGTAGCGGGCCTCCTGCGGCCTCGACCGCCACCTGCACCGACGGCGTCGAATCAGACACGTAGTGCTGGGGGGTCAGACGGAAGAAGCGCTCCGCAGTTGCCCGCTGAAGGGCCGAGGGAGCACAAGCCGAGTTACGCAAAAAACGATAGGACAGGGAGGTGCGAGCAAAACGATTGCACAACATACACCTGTATTCAGAGATATCTGCACAGAACATCATCGTGTGAGAGGTGACAGCAAGCGAGGGCGCGGGGGGGGCCTTGCGGGGCGCAGGGGCGTCGGCTGCTGGCTGCAGCTGCTCCGCCTTCCTCGCGGCCGCCTGGACCATCCAGGCAAAGGCCTCACCGTCCTTACGCGCGACCTGCAATCTGGATTTGTGCACATCAACGAGAACCTGCGCAACAGCATGGGACTGCGAGCCCAATTTGGCAAAATAATCGGCCCATTCATTTCCGACGAAATCAAACACTTCGGCCGCCCCTAGGGGCAGCACGTCGTCCAGGGAACGATGGGCGCTCGTCCAGCGAAAGGTGGGAGGCTCCGACTGTCCGACAACGTGCCTAATCTGCCTCCAGATAGACGCCTGACGAGAAGCACCTGATTCGCACAAAGAAGAGGGCTGCCGACCTGCCTTCACCAAACTGAGATGATCAGACACAATCTCTGCTGGGTGCGCTGCAATCTGGATGGCTCGAAGGGCAGCATAATGTTCCGCCCTAGGGACGGTCTGAAGCCTACCTGGAAGCGGGCCATAGATCGCTCTGACTACACAGCCAGACTCATCTAATTGGACCGCGGCCCAGCCGCAGCGCGTCAGGCCTTCCATCGAATTCGCCAGGCCTGACCCGTCCGTGTACACCCTCGGCCCCCAAGCTCCCCGCCAGTCACCCCACCCCATCGTCGGAAGCGAGTCGGCGACTGGCTCTGGAAAGGGCGGCAAGGGCGGCAGCCCATAATTTAAAAAGAAAGCCTCCTTGCCATTGTCTGTCTGGTAGCTCTTGACCAAGCTGGCACGGTGCTCCAAAACGTCGTCGGGCAAAGCTTCTTCAGGCCTACACTCAAGCATGCCATCGCAACCCCACCACTGGTGGGCCTCGGTGCCGACCTGCTCTTTACACACAAAACACAACGGCGTCGGGCGCAAATTAATCGAATGGAGGCGCTCAGGAGTCCAGACCCCCGCAGCCCACAAGGACCGCAGCGCCCCACGACGGCCCCCATCACGGAGAGCAAGCACTGATTTCCGAAGCGCACGACGCCAAACAGTGTGCCCCTGGTTGTCGGGGAAATGGGCCAGGACCCTCGCAACCTGCCATCTTCGAATTCCCTGCTCCAGAAAAATGCGCACGTCCTGAGGACATACACGGAGCAGGTCGATGGGCCAGCCCTCGTCGCTCACTAAGGTGGTGGGTCCTGACATTGACCACCCTATCCGAAGGAGCGTATACCATACCGAAGAAATCGGACCCCTGGCAAACTTCCACGCTGGATTGTGCTGAATTCTGTCTTTGATCGCGAGCCAAGCTCGAGCAAGACGTGAAGGAACGACCCTGGCTTCCCAGACACAAGTAGCAAACCTCACAACAAGCGGAACCGAAGCATCGAACACAGGGTCGAACCTATCGTCCTTTTGCGTGCATAGATAGGTAGTGAGGCAGGACTTGGGCTTAACTCCTACCATCCCTCCCGCAAACGTACGCAGCTCGCGGAGAGAAACATCGGACACACCGCTAACGCCACCTCCGTGGCTGGCTGCTGGGAGGAGCCCCGTTCGCCAAAGGGCCTTGACGGCCTCAGGTTGAGCCTGACGGAGCCCCCAGACTTTACGCCTCTTGGACTGCAAGACTCGAAGTCGGGCCTTCTCTTGGACCCGCAGAACCTTGACTCCGTGCATCTCGTGCCCTAGATTACGCATGCCGTGCTTGCTGCGAAAACCTAGCTGCGAAATGTGCCGTGCGAATGTGTCACGGGCGGCACAAGTGTTGGCCACAAACCCACTCTTATTCGCCTGCACACGCAATCCGAGGGGGGCAATATCATGGCAGAAAGACTGAACCGCCTGCGCAAGCACATGTGAGCTCTCTCCTGGATCTTTGCCTTGGCGGCGTTTGCCCACCCAGTTAAAACTCACGTCATCCATCAGGTCCCTGGGTTCCACAGATGGGAATCGCTCCACCGACAGGTTCAAACTTCTATATAGAAGCACCGTGAGCAGAGTGGTGGCTAGAGAACACCCAGCTAAGATCCCTTGGGCCGTGGAAACCGAGTACGACAAACTACCGAAGGCTCTAAGGGCTCTAGGCTGGGTGTAGTTCTGGATGGCCATCCAGGCCAGACGGAGCGGGAACCCTGTGGCCTTGGCCTCCCTCAAGAGGGCCTGGAGGTCTACACATTCATAACATTTCACCATGTCTACGAAAACAGTAACACAATCCTCTCGCAATTCGTGCGCAATCTCCGAAGCTAAATTTAAAGAGAAGGCGCTGTCACTGGACGATCGCCCTGGACCTGTCCCCCACACCGTGGGATGCGCGTGGTCACGCTCCCAGGCGACCGCTGTTGGACGGCGAACACGTCCCCAAATCCGAGCGAGGGTGTGCATTAGGGCGATCAGCCTGCAGCCGCCTGTGGACTTCGGAATACGCACAAGCTGAGTAAGTATGCGAGACGACGGCCAAATCAGAAGCTTTTCACATCGCATGAACAAGCGCGCCAGCGACTCCAGGCCGGCGTCCGAAACGAACCAGAACGCGCGGGGCGCGAACTCGAAGTGCCCGATGCCCGTGGTCCAGGGGAACTGCAGGATCGCACGCTTGATATCGTCCAGGGATATATGTGGTAGGTCGTCCCACTGCTCAGATGCGTGAGGTACTGGCTCAGGAAGATCATGCATGTGCCATATGGCGTCCCACTCTCGCATAGCTCTGTCCGCCATCTTGAATGGCTGCGCCTCCGAACCAGGGAGCAGGCAGGCAGCACAAACTTCCTGAAGAGCACGGCCTCGAGTGTGACGGTGTGCGAAACGACCTCCACCTTTGAACGACGAGGCCGCCCACTCTCGCCAACACGCCAAGGCTGTGTCATTCTGGCGCTTCTGGCACTCGTCCGCTCGACCGATGATGCTCTCAATCATGTCATTCGTACGACCACTGGTGACGAAACCGATGTCCATGTCGAAGAAGTTCCGAGCATCATCATCCAAGGCGTCGCGTAAAGGATCGTTGCGAATCCTTGTCATGAACTTGGTGATGTCCACTAGCATACGAGCAAACTTGTCGAAAGCCTTGCTGGACATCGTACCCGCCCGCTCCTGATGGCATAGCAGCACAGCCTGATTGACAAGGCTCTCTTTGTAGCGGCGTAAATGGCGGGCCCATCGGCCTGCTGCTCTCCAAGCTCTGTCTCGTGTTGTCTGCTCACCTCTGCGCCTAGGCGGCTCCCACCGCAACTTAGCATACTGCATTTGGGTGTCTCCGCCTCTGCCTCGGTAAGCCTCAGTGTGAGATCCGACAATATCATATCTGGCAAGCAACTCAATCTCCAACTGTGCCAAGACTGCGTCCCATGCTGCACTCAATGTGGGATTATCAATCGCTTGATCAATAATACGATTGACCTGGCACCAGTTCAAAGGGTATCTAGAGCACCCAGGCTTCGGCTGTCTCGAAGGGCGCTTCGGGCTGACCAACGTACGAGTCTTCAAAACAACATCCTTCCCCATGATAGGTAATACAACTGGCAGGTGTGGGAATGTGTCTCCATTTTCCTGCACATACGGGCGGCACGTTCTGGGGAGCAGATTGGTGGTCATCAAGAAATAGTCTATCGTCCTGCCTGGCAACGACTGCCTGCACGTCGAAACTGATGGGCGCGTCAACACACCTCCCAATCCATACAACCATTCCATGTCTCCGAACTCGGCCTGCTCCAGGTTGAAGTCTCCCGCGACGATCCAATCAAGACCCATCGCGTTGACAACTTCAATGTATTCACAGATCTCTGCCAAGATGCGAACGTTATTATCAGAGAGGCCTTCATTCACATAAAGATATGTTGAAATCACAATGAATCCTCCAGGCACCCCCCAATGGACGTGGGCTGCCAGCGCTCTCCCATTCGCCATGTGGGGCGTCGAGCGCCCTGGGGGGGCCGTGACCAGCACGTCTCCCTTCGCCAGGATGGCCAGGCCCGCCTGAGTGCCCTCCTGGTTGCCCGTCTTGGTGGCCGAGCTCCAGACTCCATGCCAGCCAGGGTCCAGAGCTCGATGCTGCAGATCTGGAAGACGATCCTCTGCGACGTGGTGCTCTTGTATAGCCACCACAGTGTGCTCGCAGGAGTCGAGGAAGCGCAATAGCTGGCCCTCCTCAGAGCAATTGAAAGTCACAATAGAACCCTTGCGGTCAGGAACATGATTACCATCTTCATCTGCACCTGTGTGAGAAAAGGGGAATGGGCGGCCCCAAGCGTCATCCTTGCCATCACCTCCGCCAGTCGTCCCAGCTGGAAGCCCAGCAGATCCGATGCCTGAGCAAACCTCCCCGTAGTCGTTGCCGCCCAGACGGCCTCCGCGGTCTTCCTCGTCATCACCTCGGCCAGTATGCCCAAACGGTGGCTCGCTGCGGTCTCCCGCTGCTATGCTGCGGTCTCCCGCTGCACTGCCGAGAGCCTCGGTGCGATTCCCAACCTGAAGCCCGACAGATCCGACCGCAGAGCAAGCCGCCTGGGAGCCAGAGGCAGCAGCAGGCCCCTGCCCTGCTCGTCGAGGAAGCAGTACGTCTCGATCGGCCGCAGACAGGCCGACCTTGCTGGAGGCCTTGCCTCGGCGCTGGCGCGCTCTCGCCTTAGTCAAGGCCTGCTCGCGCGCTCCAACGCGCTCCAGCAGCTGGGCCCTCCGCATGCTGCGGGCAGCGCTGGCCTCGGCCAGGGCCGCGGGAGAGCGGCTGGAGCCTGCCGCCGCCGACGCTTGCCCGAACAGCGGATTGGCATCCAGCCCTCCAGCAACCGTGCCGATGGTGCCAGATGCCCTTGCCAGCGGCAGGAGCGCCAGGAGCAGCAGCGCGCGCAGCAGGCTAGGCAGCAGACAGCACCTTGGCCCTCTTGACCTCGCGCCAGCCGCCCAGCGCGTCGGTGATCTTGCGCACCTGGCCGCGGAGCTCCTCGCACTCCTGGGACGGGTCCACGCCCGAGCTGGAGAGGAACTCGCGCAGCTCCTCCTCGGTCGCCGTGTCGGGGTCTGGGAGGTCTGGGCCTGCCTCCGACTCCTTGGCGCCCTGGCTGGGCACAGGCTCAGCCTTGGCCTGGGTCGCCCTTGCCTCGGCCGCAGCCTTGGCCTCCTGCGCTGCGGCCTCGACCTTACGCTGCTCGTACTCACGGACCTCGCCCAGCACCGTGCCAAGCTTCTCCGCGAGCACCCCGCTGTCGCCGAGCTCCGCCAACATCGCGCCCAGCTTCTCGATGGTGACGCCGAGCCCCTCGACGATGTCAGCCTTTGGCGAGACGCCTCCAGCTGGTGGACGAGGGAGCGTGGCGGCGAGCCGCGTCTGCTCCTGCTGGAGCTCCAAGATCGCCGCGTCGGACTCGGCGAGCTGCTGCGTGGCCTCATCCACCTCCTTGTTGGCCTGCACGACCTTGTCCTTGGCTGCCTGCAGGGCCTCCTCCTGCTTGGCGCGCTTCTGCTCGAGCTTGCCCAGCTTGAAGGACAGGGTGCGCAGCTGCGCTGGGACGGGCTTCGCAGCGGCCAGCTCCGCGCTGAGCTTCTTGCGAGTGTCCTCCAGCTCGACCCGGGCCGTCTCGAACAGGACCTCGCTGGAGCCGGCGATGGCCCGCAGCGCAGCGTCGACCTCCTCAAGGCGCGCCCTCTTCTGGTCCAAGGAGTCACCCTGGCCCTCACAGTGCTCTGCGCCCTCGTCGACCTCCATGGACGGCGCGTGCTGCTTGCTGGTGGTCTCAGCCAGCTTGGCCTTGGTGCTGGCCAACTCCTTTGCCAGGGCCTCCAGCTTGTCGTTAACCCACGGCGGCACCGCAGCGGAGCCGCTGCCTGAGTTCGCAGCTGGCGGCTTGGCACGCTTGGTGGACGGTCCAGGCGGCGGGCGAACACACATGAATGCCACGGCCTTGGCCGACCCGCACTTGGTGCACGACACCGTGTCGGACCGATTCCACCACTGGTTCTGCGAGATCGGGTGGATGCAGTACTTGCAGCACCAGTCCTTGGCCTGCTCGCGGCGCCGCTGCGCATGGCGACTGAGCTTCGGGGGCCCATCGCCTGCCATGCCACTGCAGTCCACTCCTCAGGCGTGCTTCGGAAAGAAGCCTGCGACGCCTGGGCAGGCTGACGCAGGCGTGCGTGAATGTGCCCCCCTGTGGGGCGGGAAGTAGGGAGCCTCGAGCCGCTCCCTTGGCTGCACACAAGCTCCCAGCGCGGGAGCGACGTTGGGAACTTGAGCCAAAATGGCTACGGACTTCTCCAGGAGGAGGAGGAGGAGGAGCAGGAGGAGGAGGAGGAGGAGGACAAGGAGGAGGAGGAGGAGGAGGGAGGGGGAGGAGGATGATGATGAGGAGGAGGAGGAGGAAGGAGGAGGAGGGGGGAGGAGGAGGAGGAGGAGGAGGAGGAGGAGAGAGGAGGAGGAGGAGGAGGGAGGAGGAGGAGGAGGAGGAGGGAGGAGGAGGAGAGGAGGAGGAGGAGGAGGAGGAGGAGGAGGAGGAGGAGGAGGAGGAGGAGGAGGGAGGAGGAGGAGGAGGAGGAGGAGGGAGGAGGAGGAAGAGGAGGAGGAGGAGGAGGAGGAGGAGGAGGTGTGCTGCGAGTGCTGCCAGCTGTCTAGCGGCCCAGCGCCCTCCGCCTCCTCGAGGACGGCGCCCTGGGGCGGACGGCGGCTCGCCGCGCCGCGCGCGGCAGGCGCCTCGCGGCTCTGGAGGCGCGGTGCCAGAACGGGCGGGGGCCGTTCCCCCCTGGCTCGTGGCAGGATCGCGAGCGTGGGGCGCGGCCTGCGCTTCGGCTCCTGTCTGAGGGACGGCGCGTGCCAGGCAGCATGCGCAAGCGGCGGAACTCCTCGTGGCATGCCTAGCGGGTGCCCGCTGGGGGCTTCGCAGGTGCCACCGCCGACGCGCTTGCTTGGGCGGCGTCTGGCCCCAGGTTGGGGATGAACGCTGGCGACGGCACTGCAGCGCTCCTGCCTTCTGTGCGCGAGCTCCTGTCAGTCTTGGGTGGCGCCCCTCTTTCGATACTGCCGCCCATGCCGGGTAGCGCGCGGCGCGCGGATGACCTGGAGGCCTTGCTGGTCATCGGCGGCGGCGTGGAGAGCGTGCTCAATGCGGCCGCCGAGGATGTTGTTCCCTCGGCCGCCCGCTGTTGTGAGCCTCTCCGCGTGACGACGGTCGTGGGCGTACGGTGCACATGCGGTGCCGTCGTGTTCGCGGACATGCAGCACACCGTGGCGCCTTGCGACACCGACGATGAGGCAGGTGGCGAGGAAGGCACGGCTTTCGGCTCGGCGTTCGACGTGGCGTTCCAACCTCCTCCTCGGCCTTTTCCTGGACAACCCGACGCCACGGTGCTCGCCGAGACGGCCTTCTGTCGCGAGCGGGACGATGAGGCTCGGGCTTTGGCGCTCTCCTGCGCGGTGTGGACCGCGCGTGGAAATCCACGACCTTCCCTTCGCCTCCGGCTCGACCGGCAAGCGGCACAATGACAAGTCGGTGAGGCTGCTGCTGGGAAGGATCCCGCCGTGGGGTCCCGCCCCCCCACGGCGGTCGCCTCTGAGGGTGGGTGCGCAGATCGCTGAGCCGTGCCGAGCGCCGGTTGCAGCATCAGTGATTCGCTGTGGCAGCTCGGGGAGGCCATTTCTGCGGCGGCGCCCCGTGCCCCGCCTCCCGCCGAGCAGCCCCCCGATTGCCGGCCACAGTAGCTGGGCCAGACATCTACGTGCGCGTGGCAGCGCATTTCCTCCTCATCCACGCTGTCCGCGACTCGTTGATGTTCTGAGGCCCAAGTTCGGCTTTCAGCCTTTTGTTAGTCGTAGCAGACTCTGCTGCGCCAAATCTCTTGCGTAGGAGGAGGAAGAGGAAGAGGAGGAGGATGAGGAGGAGGAGGAGGAGGAGAAGGAGGAGGAGGAGGAGGAAGAGGAGGAGGAGGAGGAGGGAGGGGGAGGAGGAGGAAGAGGAGGAGGAGGAGGAAGAGGAGGAGGAGGAGGAGGAGGAGGAGGAGGAGATGAGGAGGAGGAGGAGGGAGGAGGAGGAGGGGGAAGAAGAAGAAAAAGAAGAATAAGAAGAAGAAGAAAGAGGAAGGAGGAGGAGGAGGAGGAGGAGGAAGAGGGGGAGGGGGAAGGGGAGGAGTGAGGAGGCGATGCCACCGTCGTGCGTGATGGTAAGGAAGCGGGCGTGCACACCTGCAGATCGAGGCATCAGCGGACCCCCTCTTGAGAGCCTAGGCTGTCGATGATGCAGGCAGCATCTCGCTCACCCAGAGCTCTGCAACATGGAGCATCTCGCTTACCCAGTGGCGAGAACGTGATCACATGCGATTGTCGATATACCCGGGCCGTGACATGTGATATGTACGTTTTGACAGCATGGGACGTCTTGCATCTTTTGTTCCAACCAGCTGAGTTCGAGGCTCGAGTCAGGGCACCTGAGGTTTGGTAAATTTCAGAATATTTCAGGACGGCGCCATGCCTCGAATCGCATCTCACTGAGTGCAGGCACATATGCGGGCTAGAATGCGGAAGTGTCGGCTGCAAGTGAAGATGGTTGGAACAGCTCGTTCCAGCTTCTCAGCGATGAGCACTTCAAGCAACTGGCCCGTGCAATTAAGAAGCTGAACGTGAATTGGAGCCTGCACCTAACGAAGGATGCCCGGGAACACCACACGAACTGGGTTGACACAGCTTTTCCGCGCACCAGGGTGAAGGTGCTTGCACCGCCATGCAGTGAGCCTCTGAAGGTCGACCTCGTTCTCGTAATCCTCATACGTTTCTTGTCGCCCTCCTCCCTTGTGAGAGCAGGCGGGCACAAAGACATGGCTGCATGCGCACACGCGAGCCCGCCCCCATTTCTCCTCTTCCTCCCCCGATGTACCAATCTCGCCTCGGCGCCCCGATCCGTTGTTCGAAAAGTTCTGGGCATGTGAGCGGATGAAAGGCGAATGGCTTCCAGATTGCTGCTCTCGCGTCTCAGCCACGCGCAGAGGGAGGTGGGGGGAGGGGGGAGGGCTTCTTAGAAGCACCCCTGGTTCTTGGCGCGGGCCTTATCTACAGATGTAAGGCCGGCGCCTTCTAAGAAGCAGCCTCCTTCTAAGAAGCCTTCCCCCCTCCCTCCACCCCCCTGTCCGCACCGCCAAGCGTCAGCGCCGCCCACATGCGTGTTGAAAGCTTCCAGCAGCTACCCGGATGGAGGGCGCATTATGTTCAGAGTGTGGCTGTCGTCGTGGTCCCGCGCGCATCCGTCTGACAGGTTTCCATCATATACACGGATGTCACGCGGTTCTCTGTCGAGATAAGGGTAATGCTGAAGGCGTCTGGAATCGTCGTTACCGCAGGAAGAACATGAGCAAGAGCTGCCCGGATGGATCGAGTCGCCTTTGCAGCACGTGGCTTTGTTTGGGACGTCATGCTGCTTCACCGCTATACGATGAGACTTCTTCAGCTGCTGCGCGGGTGGAGAGCGGCTCTTTTTCAAAATGGGGCTCTGGTTGGACAGGTCACTGGACTTGATGATCCTGCCTCTGTGCGTTTCTGGTGTGCTCCTTATATCCAGAAAGACAGGGAGCAGATCCTTTTCAAAATGGAGCTCATGGCAGGCCCATGG